AACCATATATACTTAAGTTGAATCAAACAAAAGATTATTAATTGCATTGATTTCTTGTCACCAGAAATATAATTTGAAGTGCATAAAAACTAGATAAACATATAAAATGTGATTATAATTTAAACAAGTAGTCAGATGTCAATTTCTCTCAAAAATGAATTTATGGATGAACCAATTTCCATAATGAATTATCTACTATGTGATGTTGATCAACCTTTTTCTTATCATCTCAAGATGTAATGTCTTACTACCCTGATAGATACATTAATCAGAAACCCCAATGTCTTGGTGATTCCTTTCTTAATACATGCATTAATCACTAAGGTCTTAAGACCACATCAGAATCCTAGCATCAATGTCTTGACTACTAGAACACTAATGATGAAGTTGTCAAAAATAGAGAAAATGTAAACATGTCTGTTCTACACTATTTATCAACATGAAGAATTAATCAAGACAACTTCATACAATCACATAATAGATAAACAAAATATCTAATTAACCATTCATAAATTCAAACTTGAGTTCCATTGAATCAAATTACAAAGGACTCTACTTAGACATAATGAACATATAAACAAGAGAAGAAGAAAGATCAAACTACATTGTCATGATAGTTGAGTATTCAATCTTCAAGTACAATTACATAAAGAAGTACTAACTATTACAAGAACTAATCCTAAAGAATTTGGAAATTCAGAGAGAATGAGGAGTCAGATCAGATCTATGAAAGATCTGATCTGATCTCCCTTCTCCTAGTGTCAGAGAGAATATGATAGATAGGATGTGTGTCTGAGATTGTGAAGGCCCTTACCTTTTATAAAGTTACAAAATACAACTGAAAACTGCCACGGGCGCTAAAATGTTCATTTATGGGCGTTTTAGCGTCCATGTTTGACGGATGCCCAACTGCTTTTAACTGATTCCAACGCTAAAACGTTTGACTTGGGCGTTTTAGCGTTCAAGACCATAGTCTTTTTCCAACAGCAGGGCGCTAAAACTTTAGATCAGGAAGTTTTAGCGCCCAAGACCAGCAACTTTTGTCCTCAGATTGCAGCAGCGCGCTAAAACGTTCAGTGTTGGACGTTTTAGCGCTCGGCACCAGCAACTTTTGCCTTCAGTTTGCATCAGCGCGCTAAAACATTATGTGTGGACGTTTTAGCGCTCAACACTTGAGCATTCTCCCTTTATTCAGAATCTTCTTCTTTCTCTCTACTGCTCCTTGAGCTTCATTTTCCTACAAAAACAATGTAAATTTTCAACATAAGCTTCAGAACTTGTATTTGAGAGATTTCCAGGACATTAACCTTTTTTCCATCCATTTAATCACATAAATTAATATTAATTCATGCTTAAAAACCTGATGAACCAAGGGTTTATCACAGTTCCTAGATTTGAACATTGTTGTCCTCAGCAATGAATTAAAAACAGAGAAGAAATTGAGATTCTTTACAAATGAAATTCATGAGGATGAACTTTAATTAACAAAACATCACATTGATACAAAATGAATCAGATTCAGATAAGAGGGAATTCACAGTAATTAATCAATTTCTTCCTAATTCACTCAACTTTCTTCCTTTTCATTCCTTATTCTTTTCTTTGAACCTTTCTTCCTCCTTTTCTTCCTGACACTTTGTGTCTTTAACAAATTTTTTTCTTTTTCTTTCTTTTTCTTTCAGACACTTTGTGTCTTTAATACTTCCTTCTGTCTCTTCCAAACACTTTGTGTTTCACAACCTTTTCTTTCTTTTCCTTCTTTCTTTCTTATGTTTCCAACACCTTACATTCACTTATTGCAAAAACACTTTCCTCCCCACAGAACACTCCATCCCTTATCACTTATCTGAAACTTTTAATCTGAAGGATTGGAATAAATGTGGTTCTTGGCTTGATAGACAACAGGTTAGGCTCAAGTGTTTCATGCAATGGGAACTTAAAGGTTGGCCATTTGACTTTCTGGTTCAAGAAGGAAATGCCTCTACCCTACACATCATCAACCATTTCAAGCAAGAAACAAGGCAAGTTCTAGAGTTACTCATGCAATGAAGTGTTCTCTGAACAAAATTTTTTCTGTATAGGCTCAATTTCCTCACAGTTCAAAGTGCATGCTTGATTTTCTCTATATGCATCAAAACTAATCTCTCTACTCTTACATATTGAATGAGTCATGCAATCATTTCATTAAAGCTCAACATGCAAGGTATAAGATTGTATCCTTAATTTGATCAATCATATAAAACTTTGATCAGTCTTATCCTCATTGAATTCCATATCACAGCCGAAATCCAAATTCTGTATTAAAACTAAAAAGCCAAATCACACAAGCAAACTTAGAAAATAAAAAGATCGAGATATTTCCTTGTTTTGGCTTATCAATTTGTGTGACATCTCCATGAAGTTTGCATGCCATTCAATCACACCCAATTCCCAGATTTAAATGTTGTTGTCCCCAGCAACTAATTTAAATTGAAAACAGCAATTGATCACTGAAACACATTCATATATAAATCAAGGGAAAAAAGTTTCCGATGTTACTTTAGATAACTTTATCTAATGTTCATCGAAACGACGTCGTTTTGGGGTTGAAAAATTAAAAAAATAGAGTGATAAAGACTATTATAATCCTGAAATAAATTAAAATTACAAAAATACCATGATTTCTGTCCCAAAATGACGTCGTTTTGATGAACATTAGATAAAGTTATCTAAAGTAACATCAGAAAAAACAAACCCATAAATCAATAGCATCAGTACTATCAAAATGTGTATCAAGCAAAACAGTGAATCTCAATGTACTAAACTGAATTACAAAACTAAACTATTAGCAAAATAAAACTAAAAGAAACTAACAACAAAATAAAAAGAATTTGAGAGTGTGTGAAATGAGAGAGGGAGTAGAATATGAGAGTGTTTTTTTTCCCATGTTTGCTTCCAAGTGACAAAGATGATCAAGAGGAAGAATGGTGAGAAAGGTGGGTTCTTTGATGGTGTCTCAAGATGGAGAGTAGAGTGTCTTGGAGAAGAGAGAGGGGTCTTAGGGTTTTAGAATGTAGTCTCACGCAGGTTTGTGAAGAAATGAAGACATTTAATGTGTCTTAGTCACTTAAAGAACACTGCTCACTAATATGACAATATTAGTTCTGATAGCTTCTTTCTTCTTCTTTTTTCCAAATTTTATATTCTTAACCTAGACATTTTTCTAAGAATTACCATATTTTTATTTTTATTTTTCGAGATACTTCACCAGTACGCATTTATACCATGATATACCCGATATTAGATCACACGCCACACTCTTCACTAATAATTTCACACTACAATGTCTTATAAATTTTATGATACATAAATCTATAATTTCTTTTCAGTTCTGGGTATTTTTTTATACTCGCTATTTCTACCGCGGTACTCGTAGTACCAGCATTTTTCATTTAAAATGACTAAATTTCAATAATTAATATCTCCTACTAATATTATCATAATTATTTTGTTGTCATTAACTTCATAAAATTTATGAAATAATACTTGTTAATTATCTTTAAATTTTGGGTAATTTTGCCTATTGCATTTTTTACCGCGAAACCCTCAATATGTATCATTTTCTCAAAAGGTTCTTCTTTAACTTAAATTAATTAAAATAATTAAATCTTCCATTTCGTAATCCTCATTTAATTATTATTTAATTTCTAAAATTATAATTTACCAGTACGGGTTCTTACCATCTAAGTTAAAACGGTTGAATTGTTAAATAAATAAGATTCGATAATGGATTATTTTATGTTAAAAATTTTCATTATCTTCTTATGTAAACATTATATATAATATTAAGAGTTTGATATTTATTATTTTGGACATAGAGTTGGATATCAAAAAAAAAAACAGACATAGATAGAGTTGTGTCATTTTGGGTGTGCATTACAACCTTCTCGTAATGAGTTTTTTTTTTTAATTTCTGTTGCGGGAAACAGAAATAGATAGAAAACTCATTTGGTAAACCGATTTATTTTTTTGTTCCTAGGATGAACCAGTTTAATTTTTGCGCTGAGGAACAAAAAAAAGAATCATTTTTTTTTGTTTTTTTGATTTTAGGCACAAAATGAGAGATATTTGTCTCTCTTAATCACTTTCCACCACTACCATAACCACCACTGCCACCATCATCGTCGCCGACGTCACCACCACGATGTCACCGCCACCATCACCATGACCTCCACCCATTGCCACCGTCATTACCACCATGTCACTATCACCACCACAATCACCAACCCCTACCATTATCGCCGCAGTCACTGGCATCACCACCTCCACCATGCCACCACCATCACCACCACTATCATCACCACGCCCCCGCCCCCACCACCACATCATATGGAAAGGGAAGTGATAATTCGAAAAAATTTATGCTTAATAGGAATTATTTTTTATTATATTATTTGTTGTATTATCAAACGCAATTTTCATTCTCGGAATAAAAATAGAACATGTTATCAAACACACTTCTTCCTCAGAAATTGTTCCAAGACACAGAAATATAAAAGAATTGTTTCTTTTCAGAAACAATTCCGGAAAACAGAATAGTTGTCATGCACACCCTTTATGTGAGAGAATGACACAAACAATGAAAATCATGGAAAAGAAAGTGAGTGATTTTTTTAATTTAAATTTTAAATAAAAAAATATTAGTTTGTGTCTTTTTCTCACTTAAAATGACACAACTCTATATTCTTTAAAAGGATAAATATTTTTTCCTAATATTAAATAAGTGAGATTCTATTAGAATTTATAAATATTCAAAAGAAAGATAAATATTAAAATATTTACTATTTGAAAATGCATTATATATGTAAAATTAATCAAAATTAAATTAAATTGTGCAACAGTAAATTAATAATAATACAATGATACGGAGCACAGAAATGGAAAAAGGGAGGCTCACACAGGATTAACAAATACCCTTTCCCTCCAAATTTGCTTATATCAACAACGGATTTCATTTTCACTGAGAAACTGGATCTTAGTTTCTCTGATTGCGAAGGAGATGGAGGAGTACTTGCAGTACATGAAGACTTTGCGCTCTCAAATGAACGGTAACTACCAATCCATTCACACCTTCTTCGTTTTTTTTTCTTTATTTATTATTATTATTATTTATTTATTTTTTTGGATCTGAAAATGAGAAATGAAATTGAATTCAGATGTGGAGGATCAAGCGGCGAAGACTTCAGTGGAAGAGCAAATGCAATTGACGAACATACGCAATTTGGAAAAAGACATCGACTCAGGTCTTCTTCACACTTTCGTGCATTGCGTTTTCTTTTTCTATTCAATTCAAACATAGCTTAAGGATTGAGCACTTCAACATTATTTCTATATAAAACCGTCAAAATTTCTAAATTATGAACTACAGTACTTTCTCCTGTGGTTTTAAATTTGGAACAATTCAAACATAGCAGCAGGTTTATGAACATGAACTCAAATAAAAAGGTTGATGTAAAAGAAATAATAAGAAAAACAATAAATAACTTTTTCGTTACAATCTCTTACAACTATTTTTGTTATCGTTCAATCATAATCAAAATCAAATCAACGGTTTCAAAATGACATCAAATAAGAGCAGTCAATTTGATTTTGATCCAAAAATAAAAAAATAATTATAAGAAAAAAAAAAGATTGTTATTATAACTTACCCCTATATGTATATAATAAATAAATAAATTGAAAAGAAAATCTACTTTTCTCCACTGTATCCTAAATAAACCTCATGCCAACCTATTTCTTATTTTTCATATGTAGCAAAATCTGAAATCAAGCAACTCAAGGAAGATACTGAAAAGATGATGAAGGCAAAGGGTGAGATATGCTCAAAGATATTGGAAACACAGAAAAGGATTGCCTCTTTGGGCTCTGATACATCTAAACTTACACAGGTAAAGGCTAAGGCTGTCTGTGTCAGTGTCCTTTTATCCTCTGTTTGTTTGCTATCTAACCAAGCTGGTAACCACAAATGTAGGCTTCTCCTGTTGTTTTTTGTGGATACATAGATTCAATTGGTTCCATATCATAAATCCTTTTAAAGCAGTTTGCATTTGTAATGTGAAGATGAGGCAATGCAGCTCAAATGTGATGAAACAAATTTTTATAACTGAGCTAGCTAGCTCTTTTCTCTCTTGCAATCAATGGTCCAACTCTAGTTGAATGCATGATATATCTATTGATATTTGTTACAGTTATAGTGATAATTCCTGCACAAACTTGAGTATTGCGTCTATATGTAAGTCATATGCTATTACACACATTAACTTGGTATACAAAACTCAAATGTAGAGCTGGAAATTTATACTTGCAACAATATAATTAAAAGATGTGTTGTTTTAATTTCCAAATTAAGCTTTAAGTCTAGAGTTAATCTGGGGATGTGAAAATTTGATAAATCTATACGGGGCTTTAGGATTGGTTATGAAGAATTTTGATCTTATTTCTTGCTTTGATATGTGCCTTAGTAATAAAATAAAAAAGAAAAGAAGGGAGAAAAAGTCTGATGCCTTATGCTGTGTTCCTGGTGTTGTTCATGACTCTCTCTACCAGCAGACTCTGGAGCTTATTCAGCAAGAGAGAGTTGGGTTATCTGCCAAACTTTCAGAGAAGAGGTAAATGAAGATACTGAGTGAATGATCTTATACATTTGATGCTCATCCGTCTAAGTTGCTTTACTCTTTCAGAGCCTACTATAGCAAGGTTGCAGAAGACATGAGTGCCAAATTACATAAACAACAGGTTTGCTTTTATTATTATTCTTTGTTATTAATAATGCGTGACCTGTGGAGCAGCTTTCTCAATGCATGAAGTAATATGTTTGAACAATTGGCAGCAAATGTTGGCATCAAAGGGGTGATTATGTCTGGGAAATAATATCATTTGAAATACATTTTCCGCATGGAAATTTGGTTTCTCTGTTTTTGGCTCTACATTACTCCCCTGAACAAAAAAACAATCTGCTAGTCTATGAATACCGGGTGCCATTTGGGTGTTGTTGGTATTAGGGTGTAGAAAAGTGTAGAAACACTTGTTTATGAGTGAGTGGTAAGCTTCTTGAAACACTTTGAGTGTTGAGTGTATAAATTAGTAAGGAAAATACCATTGGGGTACTTTGGGATGTGAGATTTGAGTATTATTAAGCCACTTCTGTAACCTACTTTTTTATTCACTTAGTGAATCTATTTTCCGTCCTTGTGCCATTAATCCTGTAATGGTCCCAACTCTGCATCTCATTGTTCGTGTGAGTTCTTTCAGTTGGTTTGTTGCTACTAGGTACTGAATATAATAAATCTTTGGCAGGAATGGATCAGAGCTAAGAAGATTAGTAGAGAACTGAAAGAGCGGGAATTGGTATGCCTTTTCTTATTCGTACAAATACCTTTAAACTGTTTATGTAGAATATCCTTATACATCCTTTGGTTCCTCTGAAAATAAGAGTCCTTAGTAAATGTTTGAACAAACTCCTTGAGCTTACTTATTTATGAGGGAATAATATCGTCTGATAAATTGCTGACCAAAAGGAAGAATAAAGAAAAAATAAAATTTCCTTCAATTGTCAGGTCTTATTTATTTAATTATTTAATTATTTAATTCTTCTGTTTTTCTTTCAAGTCTCTGTTAATCACTTTTATTTTGAATTTATGCAGGTCAAGGAAAAAGTTGATGGGCAAAGAAGTAAAGCTGAAGGCATAGCTCTAAGCTTTTGTTTAATGTTTTACGCTAAGCTTCGGTACTGATTTTCTTTTTTTTCTTTTTTCTTTTTTAAAATAAAAAAGCTATGGTAGATGGAAGCAAAACAATAGATCCTCTTGAAATTGTTGGAAAAGTTTAAGAATCGTATTTTGGTTTCAAAATAGGAGTTGCACATACTTTGCCTGAAAGGATGAATATTGAGTTTGCCTCCATAACCAAGCCTTTCTCTTGATCATTCAACCAAAAAGAAGCACTGTAATCAATAAAGGCTTTAGTGAAAATAGTGGATCAACCAGAAGATAGTATAATTAATAGGAATGAGGAAGACCTAAAGAGACATTAGGAGAAGCCATTGAAAAGGACCTTGCACTAAATTATCTGACTAAAATTTTGGTTTTTGATAGAGCTCAATGGGATCAATTGATCATTGTGGCCAGCTGCACCTAATGATAGAAGGCCTGTTGTTGTTGTTACATTTTATGACACTAAACTGCTGAGTCATATACTATTCCCATTTGATGTTTGACCTCCAGTTTATATATATATATATATATATATATATATAAAATCTATTGGATTTAACTGAAAATTCATTATAGATCTACATGTCACGTCATGTTCAAGCCCCATATAATTAGAAGGCAACCAAGAGTATCATTTTAGCCAATTCATTTCATTATTATTAGTTTTTTTTTTTTGGCCGGTTTTTGGTGTTGGGGGGGGAAGGGGGTTTCATATTTTCTTTAATTTCTCCTTTTTAATCTGTCTCTTTAGAGTGGGAATCAAAAGAATCATGCAATTAGGGCATGGCTATGCCTTATAAAGTTTACTGTGGATATTGATTGCGGTGACCTTATATGTAGAAAATTTAACTTGCTTGTTGAGAGAGAATAGAGAAACTTGGGATGTTGAAAACCGTGTTTCTTAATTACGCACAGGAGAGCTGAAATATAGAAGGGTTTACAATAATTACAAGATATGGGCTAATGGGCTTGCCACTGTATATACAACAAACCTACAAAATAATAATAATACACGTTTCTAACAATGCTTTTAACAGGGAACTTGTTTGATATATGATATTAATAGCAAAGAATAATGAAATTGTTCATGTATTTTAAGATGCAATTGAGTTATGGGTGTCTATTACCTTGTTTGACTGGTTGCACAAAATATATGGTTTGGTTTAATTTCTCAAATTGAGAATTAGCGGAGTTTGGTTTAGTCTGAGTTTATACTAAAACCAGCCCCTGAGTACCTCTATCTGCTGACTGGAACAAAATCAGTAATGAGTGGGATAGCTTCATTCTGTCTAGGCTAAACACTGAATCGAAAGTTCATCTTTTTGGTTTTTGCTATTAATATCAGGAATTGGAAAAAATCATTGGGTTACAACTTACAAGTATTTTATAGTTCAAAGCCATTTTTTTACTTGAATATAAAATAATATGTTGTGTATCGATCTAATTTAGAGGGTTACAATATATAGAGACTCTAATGGGCTTAAGTGAAAGGCCCAGACCTAATACAAACCTAATACAATCAGAATTAATTACAGACTAATCATATCTAATCATATTTAATATATTCTAACACTCCCCCTCAAGTTGGTGCGTATATATTGTGAGCACCAAGCTTGTTACAAATATATTGAACCCGAGGACCTTTAAGAGCTTTAGTGAAGACATCCGCTAGTTGATCAGAGGAGTTGACGAAAGCAGTCTTGATTTCTCCTGACTGAATCTTTTCTCAAATGAAGTGACAATCAATCTCTATATGTTTGGTCCTTTCATGAAAGACAGGATTAGAGGATATATGTAGCGCAGCTTGATTATCACAGATGAGTGTCATGGGTTGTTTCTGTTCACAAAGATGAAGCTCCTGAATCAATTGCTTTAACCAGACTAACTCACAGGTAGCATTTGCCATTGCACGATACTCAGCTTCTGCACTAGATCGAGCAACAACAGGTTGTTTCTTGCTTTTCCACGAAATTAAGTTTCCTCCAAAGAAGACACAATAGCCAGAAGTAGAGCGTCTGTCCAAGGGTGATCCTGCCCAATCAGCATCTGAATAACCACAAATTTCTGTATTTCCCTGATCTGAATACAACAAACCTTTTCCTGGTGCTCCTTTGATGTATCGGAGGATCCTCACAGCAGCATCCCAATGCGAATCATAAGGGGAATCAAGAAACTGACTAGCCGTACTAACAGCGAAAGAAATATCTGGCCTAGTCACAGTAAGATAGTTGAGCTTCCCAATTAGCCTCCGATAACGTCCAGGATCAGATAACGGCTCCCCCTGTCCGGGCAATAACTTGACATTAGGATCCATGGGTGTATCAACTGGTTTATTCCCCAACATACTAGTTTCTTCTAAGATATCCAAGACATACTTCCTTTGACAGATAGAAATGCCCTGTCTGGATTGCGCCACCTCAATTCCCAAGAAGTAACGCAGCTTCCCAAGGTCCTTTGTTTGAAATGTACTAAACAAATGCTGTTTTAATTTGACGAATTTTGTCTTGATCACTTCCGGTGAGAATGATGTCGTCAACATAAACTAACAAATAGATACACTTATCAGGAGATGTAATCCTATAAAACACAAAATGGTCAACTTTACTACGGCTTAAGCCAAACGCCTGAACAGCAGAACTGAAGCGACTGAACCATGCTCGAGGAGACTGCTTGAGACCATATAAGGATTTCCGAAGACGACACACCTTTCCAGACTCCCCCTGAGCAACAAAACCAGGTGGTTGCTCCATGTAAACTTCTTGTAAATCACCATGAAGAAAGGCATTTTTGATGTCAAGTTGAAGGAGTGGCCAGTGACAAACAGCATCAAGGGCAAGAAAGAGGAGGATTGACGCCATTTTAGCGACCGGAGAAAATGTATCGCTATAATCAAGGCCAAAGATTTGAGTAAAACCCTTGGCAACTAAACGTGCCTTGAGACGATCAATATGGCCATCAGGTCCAACTTTCACAGTAAAAACCCAGCGACAACCAACTATAGACTTCTCTGGAGGAGCAGAAACAAGGTCCCAAGTGCCATTGGAATGAAGTGTAGTCATCTCATCAAGCATTGCTTGGCGCTACCCTGGATGGGAAAGTGCTTCACCTGTGGTCTTAGGAATAGAAATAGAAGAAAGACTAGAAACAAAGGAGAAATGAGGTGAAGAAAGACGGTTATAGCTCAAAAAGGTATAAAGAGGATAAGGGTTACGAGTAGTACGTGTACCTTTTCTTTGAGCAATGGGAAGAGTCTCTGATAAAGGATCCAGAGGGGAAGAAGCAACAGCAGTGGGCGATGAGTCAGCAAGAGTCGAGTCGACAGGAGGCACAGTTTTGCGACGCTGATAGGTGAGAAGTGGACGGTCCTCAGGTATAGAAGCAATAGGTTGCTCATCTGGAATAGAAGCACCTGCAGCTGGCAAAGACAAGTCAAGAAAATGGACAGGAAGTACATGATCAACCTGTGACAACTGAGATGAGATAGAATTAAAGGGTTGTTGATCAAGAAAAGTGACATCAGCGGAAACTAAGTAACACTTAAGGTCGGGAGAATAACAACGATAACCCTTTTGAAGACGAGAATAACCAAGAAAGATACACTGAAAGGCTTTGGATGTTAACTTATCCTTACCAGGAGTGAGATCATGAACAAAACAAGTACAACCAAAGACATGTGGAGTTAGAGGATAAAGAGGAACATCTGGAAGCAATAGATTATGAGGAATGTCATTGTTGAGCACAGATGAAGGCATGTGATTGATGAGAAAACAAGAGATGAGTACAACATCTGCCCAAAAGTGAAGGGGAACCTGCATATGAATAAGAAGGGTACGGGCAGTTTCAATGAGATGTCTGTTTTTACGTTCAGCCACTCCATTTTGTTGTGGAGTGTGAGGACAAGTAGTTTGATGTAAAGTACCTTGTGTGGCCAAGAAATTAAAAAAATCAATAGAAACATATTCCTTAGCATTATCACTACGTAGAATACGAATAGAAACACCAAATTGAGTATGGATCTCAGTAGAAAACTTTTTATAAATGGAAAATAACTCAGAACGATTTTTCATTAAATAGGTCCAAGTGCAACGGGAAAAATCATCAATAAAGGTAACGAAATACCGAAAACCTAAGACAGACAAGGTACGACTTGGACCCCAGATATCTGAATGAACAAGAGAGAAAGGGGCATCAGCTCGTTTATTGACTCGACTGGCAAAAGAGGAGCATGTATGCTTCCCTTGTTGACATGACACACAATCTAAAGACTGAAGACCGGACAAAAGAGGAACCATTTTCTGCAACTTTGAAAGACTTGGATGACCAAGGCGACTGTAGATAAGTTGTGGAGATTCTGTGAGAGAGCATGCTACTGAAGGACGAGGCACATCCAGATAATAAAGCCCCTGTGACTCACGACCCACTCCAATCATTTTCCCCGTACCCAGATCCTGCACAGAAACAGAATGGTTAGAGAAAGTAATGGTGCAAGTGAGGGAGTGAATCAACTTACTAATAGAAATTAAGTTATAAAGGATGCCAGGAATGTAATAGACAGATGTCAGGGCCAAGGTAGAGGTCGGACGAGCTTGTCCAATCCCACGAACTGGGGCTTTGGTTCCATTCGCAAGGGTAAAAGACGGTAAATGATCAGAATAAGTAAGAGATGTAAAGAGTTCCTTATTACCACAGAGATGATCGGTAGCGCCGGAGTCAAATATCCAAGTGTCAAGTGATGTAGAATGAGAAACACAAGCAACAAGATTACCAGTATAAGGCTGAGACTGAGGAGAAGCCTTCCTGAGAGGAGTTTGGAGTGCAGCATAGTCCGAACCTGAACCAAATGATGCATTGTCTGACTGAGCTATATTTGCAACAATAGAAGGAGAGTTAACCTCCGAGAGATCAGGAGATGTTGCTGCCATTTAAAGATAAAATATAAAAGCCGTAAACGAAGGCAAACGATATCCAATCAAGGAGAACCACGCGTCTAAAGTCAGACCCACATAGAAACAATCACAGATCCAGAAAGGGGAGGAGAAGGCGAGCTTCTCTGTCCAAGACTGGCCGGGAAAAGCCGCCGGAGTAGTGCACACGCGTCGGTAGAAGGTGGCGCGTGAGGCCCACGCGCAGAGGAGGTGGGCGGCGCGTGAGGGATGCGTTGGTGACCGGACCTCCACAGACTTGATCGCCGGGAGGAGACGGTCCTGATCGTGTGACGTCTGGTCTGAAAAGTCGCCGGAAAAACGTCTCTGGTGGCCTGAACAGTGGTCCTAGTGGCGGACGGTGGTTCCGGTGGCCGTCGATGGTGCTGACGCGTTTGGAAAATTACTCAGAAGCTGTTTACAGCCCTAGATGGCTTGTCGGAAGGACGCACGGCAAAGAAAGAGGACTCCTAAGCAGTGGGCTTAGGTTTTAAAGCAAAAACAAGGTTTCTAAATGGAAGCGAGGGTCCTCAGAACAAAAGAGCTCTGATACCAACTTGAATATAAAATAATATGTTGTGTATCGATCTAATTTAGAGGGTTACAATATATAGAGACTCTAATGGGCTTAAGTGAAAGACCCAGACCTAATACAATCAGAATTAATTACAGACTAATCATATCTAATCATATTTAATATATTCTAACAGAAACAAAATTTGATATCCTATCTTTCTTTTCATAAACTTAACTTGCAGAGAAGGCTGGTGCTGATGGTAACTTTATCATGGATAACTTGGTAGACTCCTACTTTCGTCAATGTATGCTGCATGGAGTTGGAATCTGGTAATTTATCTTTGTCTGACAGGGGAGTGATGCAAGGAAGAACTTAACAACTGAATTGGATTCAGCTAAAGCAAGGCTTGATGAGATTCGTATTCTGAAATCCAAGGTTCTTATGGAGAACAACAAGGTCATTTATCTGCCAACTTTTTAGGCTGTGAAATATTAATTACTCAAGTTTATGGTTTTTTTTAACTTACTTTGGCTCTGTAACATTTTATTATAGCATATGGTAAAAAAATTTATTGATTCTAGAAACTGAAAGTCAGTGTTTTAAATTACATGAATTATATTCCAACCTGATTAAAGTTCTCCCATGAGTTGTCCCACCTTACTTTGAAAATCTGTTTGTTCCAAAATAACCTCCCTTCTTTCTCTTTTCTTTTTCCATTTTCGTTCTACAACTTCTACATTTTTACCGTTTCTGCCATATTTTCTATAACACATGATGGAATATGCGCATGCCATGTCCTATTTACGAGCATATCTTCAGTACTACGAGAATAGGTACTCCTTTTATCAAAAGTAGAAAAAAGTGGGATTCATGTGGCATTAACCATAAAGAGGTGGGTAAAATAAATATAATTAGGTGAGTTGCTTTTTTCCAAATTTAATAAATATAGCATCTTCAGTACGGAAGATATTTTCCCGATTGACCGTATGAGCATTGTTGAACCTTGGCATTCAAAATGTAAGCAGAATATGCTGGGTGCCTAATATAATTGTGTTCAGTGTCTTCGAAGTTTAGTCAGCTGAAATTTAGGAAAATTGCCTTTACTTGCACAAATGGAATTGATACACAGACATTTGCCCACATGCTCTTTATTAAAACAGAGAGTGACTAACCGAGCAACTTCTTCAATTTAGCCTTTTGTTTTCTCCAGTTTTTAACTGTCTCCTAGTTTGAAGTTGTGGTTCATTATATTTAAATAGCCTTTTCTTCTAATCATAGATAAAGTTCTCCACAACTGAACTGCCGTTCCGGTTTAAGTTATTTAAAATACCAATTGATGGTTTTGAAAATCAATCTTTTGCAAACAGAGGGATGAAAAAAATAGCCCCAAAGAATAATCATGGGGCGGAAAGTCTTCTATGCAACTGTTGGCAAATATGTAACTTCTTATATAAGGATTTTTTGTCACCCCTTAATGCTTTCGAGAAAATCAGAATGTGAAGTTTTGCTTTATATTATGCTAATATGGTTGTATTGTCTGTATACTTTCTTTGCATCTTACTATTATTTCTTTTTCACCTTAGATAAAACTGGCTATTGAGGATGTAAAGAGCAGGGAAAATGAGTTCAAGGTTGGTAGTTATTCTGCAAGAATTACTAAGAAATGTGTGATTATCATAATATTCCTTTTTTCAGATGGCCAGGTGGAAGGCATTTACATATTATATATATTTTTTCTATATATTGATTTACATTAGATATTTGATAGGTAAGTTTATTGGGACAAATTTGTGGCCTTTATTCAATGATTTTGTAAAATATCTTATTTAATTCTTTGTTCCTGATGAATGAGCTACGCTAGCCAGAGCTAAAAGCAGCAGATATGACTGCTCTTGAAGAGGAATATAATGCCCTCTTGTCAGACAAAGCTGGAGAAACTGAGTATTTGCAGTCTCTGGAGAAACAAACTGAGAAACTCAAGGTAAAATAAGTTTAATCCACTGGAAAATTTTACAAGGTACTTAAGTAATTATCAACGAAATAGTTATAGCATGTCATCGAATAGTTTAATCCGCTGCATTCATGTACATCCCTCTTATTTTACAGATGATCTATCATGTGGTAAAATGTGCTTGTGGAGAGGAATTCACAGTTGCAGTGAATATGTAATATTGCAAGAGAACATGAAATTTCAGGAGGCTGTGATTCAGTTGTTCATGCTGATCTTGATTAGATAATACTATATGTCAGTTTGGAAGTGATACAAGTTTGATTGAATGTCTCCTTGGCCTCTCATCGCGTTTTCCATTCAATATATAGATATCAATACACAAGAATTTACAGAGGTTTTAAACTGATTTCTAGTCTGAATATGTAGGGATTTACAGCTATTCAATCTGAATAAAAGCAATCTGTACAAAACAAATGAGAGTTATCCATAGTAACATCCCCCCTCAAAGTGATGCTGGTTGATCAAGATGAATCAATTTGCTACCAAGAAACTGATGATGTTGTGACTTAATAAACACTTCACTATCTGTAAAGATTTGGTAACATGTGGAAGAGAAATGACGTGAGTATCTACAGTTTTCTGAATATAATGATATACTTGGTCCGCACATGGTAGATTGAATTAGTAGCAATTTGAATGGCACTCGTGTTATCTGCGTGAAGACGAATGAGATCAATTTGAGGAAAGCCAAGTTCAATCAGCAATTCCTAAAGCCAAGCAATTTGAGAGCATGGAGCTGACATCACACGATAATCAGACTCGGTAGAGGGATTGGAGACACGACCCTATTTCTTACTTTTCCATGAGATGGACTAGCCCATTCAGCATCACTAAAAACAAGGTGCATGGGAGAACCGACATGAAAAAATAAACCACGACAAGGAGAACCTCGTGGATGTCGAATATCGAGGAAAACAAAAGCCGAGCGTAGATGTCAAGGAGAATGCATAAACTAAATTACTTATACCACAAAGGAGATACCAAACTAGTATTAATCAAGTAGTTCAAGTTACCCACTAACTGTCGATACAACAGAGGATTCAGAAGGAGCTCACCCTCGTCAGTGTGGTACTAAACACTCACTTCCAAAGCAGTGTCAACCGAGGAAGAATCCTGAAGACCAGCCAAAGCAATCAAATCCTTAGTGCTCTTATGCTGGTGTAAGAATATACCATACGAGTAAATGTGAACTTTCGGTCCCAAAAAAACGTGTAAGATGATCAAAATTCTTCTTATTAAAAGGATTCTTGAAGGTGTTGCTGAAGTTGAGTGATCAATAAATGTTGTGTCTGAGTGGTAAAAATATCATCGACATTCACGAAGTAGAATAATTTCAGTTAAGTCTTACGAAGAAACAAGGAGTCAGTATGGGTTTTGCACAGTGACAGACCCAGGAATTTTTCCTGTGAGGGGCTAAAAATTAAACATTTGTTTCTCTCTTCAAATATAATATATGAGAGGTCAAAATACGAAAAATTAAATATGTGTTCCTCTCTTCAACCACAATATGTGGGAGGTCGAAACACAAATCCAGAGAACATAATTCATAAATACCTCTTTTAACTTGTTATAGAGAGAAAGAAGGAGACACAGAGAGAGGTGAAAGATGTCACAGTAAAATTTACTATCAATTTGAAAAAAAATTACACCTTTTCAACCCCTAAAATGAACATTTTTTATGCAAAGAAAACAAAGAAAAAGAGAAGAGAGCAAATGTTTAGATTTCACAAAAAATATGATCTAATTACTATATCTAAATAGATAATTCAAAGAAGACCTCTCTCATTTCTTAACCTTTTTTTCTATTTACTCAGTGTTAACCCAACAAGAAAAAAAAAAGCCAAAGATAAATTAGAAGAGACATATTGTCAAAAAGCACAATCATCAAAATCCTTCTGCCCCTCACTTCCCTCTCTGTCACGAATCATCAGAAAATGAGAGGGATCGAAAGAATAAGGTTCATTCTTTCATAAGACTCTCGGACTTCTTATTTTATTCATGGATGAGAAGATTTGTGATAACATATAAACATAATAAAAGTTAAAACTGTAAGTTTCAAGTCGAGGTTTAAACTATAATTTAAGGGGAATGTTATATTTACAAACTTTTCGTTTAGTATATTGTGTCTGACCGTCATACTTTAATCAAGAGTGTACGACTGATCATACTTAGTGTAATTTGTAAAAAAAATTGTAAACAGAACTTACAAACTTTATAAACTCTCTGCAGTGGGAGAAAACTACTTCACATTAATAGAGAAAAAAAATAGAAATTTCTTGCATTATACTTATGTTAAAAAAATTCTTCAAATTTTGAGAGGAGCGGCCGCCTACCCTAGCACCCCCTGGGTCCGCCCCTGGTTTTGCACAAACTTAAACTGAAGCATACTGGATTGGAACTTCTGAAACCATGCTCAGGAAGCTTGTTTTAAGCCATGCAGCGAGTGTTTTGACTTGCAACATAATTAGTGGAAAATAATCTAACAGGTGGTGTCATGTATATATCTTTCTGTTTTTTTTTTTCTTTTTAAATCACCATGGAGAAAAGTACTTTCAATATTTTTTTATATCTAGTTCAGCAATGGCATGAATTGTACGTCCTATAGTCATTTTAGCAACAGTCCTCATAGTCTACTCCATACTATTATCGACCACCAACCTAAGCTTTATAGCGATCTAGGAGTCCCATCAGAATGAAGTTTCAATGAGTAAACACGTATTTATACTCAATGGGCTTGACATTGAACAATGTCCCCAGTTAGATTTTCCTGAAGAACTCCAAATTCCACTTGCATTGCTCCCGGCCAACACCCATGGCAAGCTGCCTATGAGTAAGAAGATATAACAAAAATAGGAGAGTATTTATTGTGGTCCAGGACCACCATTTTTTAGGTGGTCCCTTAGTATAAATGAGAGGATAAAATTGGAAAAGAAGAAAAATAAGACGGGTAAAAAAGGAAAAAAAAAAATTAGTGTTGTGAGAGGAAGCACCAAATCATTGGATGGTGTTGGAGCATAAAAAATATTTCCCAAAAATAGAGGTCAAAGCAGCAATAAACGTATGCTAAAAGCTGTACCCATCAGGAGGATGCGAGTTTCGAGTACACTCTCAAAGATGGTGAAGGAGAGCAGATGCCTGTTCTAAATCATAAAGTGATTAAGGACGTCGAGAGTACACAAATTCAGGCTTGAACCGTGCAATATGGGATGGCATGTCATCAAAATCAAGAAGCATAATAACTTCAGGTGATGGCGTGTCATACTGGAAGCACTTTGAGAAACACAAAGTCTTACAGAATAAGGATCATGGCAAACAAAACCTTTGTGACTAATGCTATATCTTATTAATACACATTTAACAGACTGAGCAGAATGCTTATGACGTTCAAGAGGAGGGAAATGAACAAAACAAATTTAGGTATGCAGATGCCAATAGGAAAGATTTGAATGATAAAGACGAAAATAAGGAGAGCCAAAATCTAGTGTTTGAGAAGGCAATCAATTAATAACGTAAACTGCTGTAGATAAAGCTTCTACTCAAAAACTAGGTGGAACATTAGGTTACTTCTAATAGATGACAAATGGAAAGAACTTTGTCCATTCCTATTCTCAGTTTACTCCTCCTATATTCAACTCAACCCAATACTACAAAAATTCATATCCAAGTAAAGCACTAACAGCAATGTTACAAACAACCACTTTATGTAGCTCATTTCTTTGTTTTATCAAGAACTTCAATATATCTCTTTGGAACTCCATATTGTTCAATCAAATGCCTTGCCAGGTCATCAATAACTCCACCTTGAACCAGGACTTCATGCCCTTTCTTTCCTGCAAACAAATATGTTCAAATTTAAGATACACAATACAATAAATGCACATCATTTAATTGAAGGTAAATAGAAAATCAAACTTCGTGGGTCACAACCCTGTATGTCAGAACTTAGAAGGGTGAACTGTCTTACCACATCATCCCCAGGCCATTTCAAACAAAAATATTTTATGAAATAAACACTGGCTGTTGGTTCACCTCAACCCTATTTACTTTGTTAAAATAACACAAAGAAGAATGCAAAAGACAATGAAGGGTAAATAAAAGAACATCAAAGTTTTACCTGCATGCATGCCCAATCCCTGGTTTTGTTCAGTTTGTTAAAGTCAGAAGGATATTAATACATATTTACAAATGCCCCTGCAGTTGCCCCTCTGTATGTACTCAAAAGAGGCACACATAATTGTAACACTTACTGCTTAAGCTCCCAAAAAAGTTCTCAATGAATTCAGTTTAGCTTCCCATAGAGCCCCTTATCCTCTTAAGTACTGGTACCGAGACAACAAATAACATGCAACTTGGGCTTGCAAAAAAAAAAAACCCTCAAACTTACTCAAAAAAAAAAAAATCACTCCCCGTTAAACCCAACTAACAAATGTGGGGTGGAGGCAATCCTTGTATGCAGTCTTACCCTTGCATAATTACAAAGAGGCTGTTTCCTGGATTCAAACCCATGATCTTTCAGTCATGAAGGAACAATTTTACCACTTCTCCGGTTCGCCTCCTTACCCTCAGTTAAATGTAAAAGAATATGTTATGTATTGATCTGTGTCAGGGAGTTACAATATATAGAGACCCTAATGGGCTTAAGTGTAAGGCCCAAACCTAATCCAAACCTAATCCTAATACAGTCAGAATACAGTCAGACTATTTACGGATAAGACAGAATCCAATCATATCTAATCAAATCTAATCATATTATATCTAATATTCTAACACTCCCCCTCAAGCTGGTGCGTATATATTATGAGCACCAAGCTTGTTACAAATGTATTCAACCCGAGGACCTCTAAGAGCTTTAGTGAAAACATCTGCTAGTTGATTAGACGAGTTGACAAAAGCTGTCTTGATTTCTCCTGACTGAATCTTTTCCCGAATGAAGTGACAATCAATCTCTATATGTTTGGTCCTCTCATGAAAAACAGGATTAGAGGATATATGTAGCGCAGCTTGATTATCACAGATGAGTGTCATGGGTTGTTTCTGTTCACAAAGATGAAGCTCCTGAATCAACTGCTTTAACCAGATCAACTCACAGGTAGTATTTGCCATTGCACGATATACTCAGCTTCTGCACTAGATCGGGAAACAACAGGTTGTTTCTTGCTTTTCCATGAGATTAAGTTTCCTCCGAAGAAGACACAATAACCAGAAGTAGAGCGTCTGTCCGAGGGTGATCCTGCCCAATCGGCATCTGAGTAACCACAAATTTCTGCATTTCCCTGATCCGAATACAACAAACCTTTTCCTGGTGCTCCTTTGATGTATCGGAGGATCCTCACAGCAGCATCCCAATGTGAATCACAAGGGGAATCAAGGAACTGACTGGCCGTACTGACAGCGAAAGAAATATCTAGCCTAGTCACAGTAAGATAATTGAGCTTCCCAATCAGCCTTCGATAACGTCCAGGATCAGATAACGGCTCCCCCTGTCTGGGCAATAACTTAACATTAGGATCCATTGGTGTATCAACTGGTTTACACCCCAACATACCAGTTTCCTCTAGGATATCCAAGGCATACTTCCTTTGACAGATAGAAATGCCCTGTCTAGATTGCGCCACCTCAATTCCCAAGAAGTAACGCAGCTTCCCAAGGTCCTTTGTTTGAAATGCACTGAATAAATGTTGTTTTAACTGATGGATTCCGTCTTGATCACTTCCGGTGAGGATGATGTCATCAACATAGACTAACAAATAGATGCACTTGTTAGGATGTAATCCTATAGAATACAGAATGGTCAACTTTACTGCGAATTAGGCCAAACGCCTGTACAACAGAACTGAAGCGACTGAACCATGCTCGAGGAGACTGCTTGAGACCATATAAGGATTTTTGAAGACGACATACCTTCCCAGACTCCCCCTGAGCAACAAAGCCAGGTGGTTGCTCCATGTAAACTTCTTCTTGTAAATCACCATGAAGAAAGGCATTTTTGATGTCAAGTTGAAGGAGTGGCCAGTGACGAACAGCAGCAAGGGCAAGAAATAGGCGGACGGACGCCATCTTAGCGACTGGAGAGAATGTATCGCTATAATCAAGGCCAAAGATTTGAGTAAAACCCTTGGCAACTAGGCGTGCCTTGAGACGATCAACATGGCCATCAGGTCCAACTTTCACAGTAAACACCCAGCGACAACCAACTATAGACTTCTCTGGAGGAGCAGAAACAAGGTCCCAAGTGCCATTGGTATGAAGTGCGGTCATCTCATCAAGCATCGCTTGGCGCCATCCTGGATGGGAAAGTGCTTCACCTGTGGTCTTAGGAATAGAAACAGAAGAAAGACTAGAAACAAAGGTGAAATGAGGAGCAGAAAGGCGATCATAGCTCAAGAAGGTATAAAGAGGATAAGGGTTACGAGTAGTACGTGTACCTTTTCTTTGAGCAATGGGAAGAGCCTCTGGTGAAGGATCCGGAGGGGAAGAATCAACTGCAGAGGGCAATGAGTCAGCAGGGGTCGAGTCGACTGGAGGTACTGTCTTACGACGCTGATAAGTGAGAAGTGGACGGTCCTTAGGTACTGGAGCAATAGGTGATGGCTTATCTGGAGTAGAAGCACCTGCATCTGGCAAAGACAAGTCAAGAAAAGGAACAGGAAGAACATGATCAACCTGTGACAATGAAGATGGGATAGAATTAAAGGGTTGTTGATAAAAAAAGGTGACATCCGCGGAAACTAAGTAACGCTTGAGGTCAGGAGAGTAACAGCGATAACCCTTTTGAAGACGAGAATAACCAAGAAAAATGCATTTAAAGGCTTTGGATGTTAACTTATCCTTACCAGGAGTGAGATCATGAACAAAACAGGTACAACCAAAAACATGTGGGGATAGAGGAAAGAGAGGAACATCTGGAAACAATAAGTTATGAGGAATATCATTATTAAGCACAGATGAAGGCATGCGGTTGATGAGAAAGCAAGAAGCAAGGACTGCATCAGCCCAGAAGTGAAGAGGAACATGCATGTGAATAAGAAGAGTCCTGGCAATCTCAATGAGATGTCTATTCTTACGTTCAGCTACTCCATTTTGTTGTGGAGTGTGAGGACAAGTGGTTTGGTGTAAAGTACCCTGTGTGGCTAAGAAGTGAGAAAAGTCAACAGAAACATACTCCTTAGCATTATCACTACGTAAAATACGAATAGAAGCACCAAATTGAGTATGAATTTCAGCAGAAAACTTTTGATAAATAGAAAACAACTCAGAGCGGTTTTTCAGAGCGATTTCGTTCTGGGAACCCTCGCTTCCGCTTAGAAATCTTGTTCTTCGCTTTAAAACCTAAGCCCACTGCTTAGGAGTCATCTTTTCTTTGCCGTGCGTCCTTCCGGTAAGATATCAAAGGCTGTAAGTCCTCTCCAGGCATCTTCTGCACGTGTCCACAGTCACCGGAGCACCATCAGCCACCGTCAGCCACCGTCAGCCACTGTTCAGGCTGCCGGAGTACTTTTCCGGCGAGTTTTCAGTCTGGAACGAACGCGAACAGAACCCTCTCCTCCCGGCGACCTGCTCTGTGGAAGTCCGGCCACCATCGGAGTTGTCACGCGCTCTCACGCGCCTCCAGTCTTCTCTGCACGTGGGCTTCACGCGCGGCGGCTTTTTCCGGCCGGTCTTGGACAGAGAAGCTCGTCTTCTCCTCCTCTTTCTGGATCTGTGGTTGGTTCTTTGTGGGTCTGACTTTTTGTGCGCACCTCTTCTTGATTGGTGATCAGGTTCGTTTCTCTTTTTTCGGTTTGTATCTTTGTGATTTGATATGGCAGCAAACCCTCCAATTCATTCGGAGGTCAAGTCTTCATCTCCTCCTTTGAGAAATTCTCCCAATATCATCTCTACCAATATTGGGTCCATTACCTCTTCAAAATTGAAGGGATCTGTTAATTACAAGAATTGGGCCACCTCTGTTCGAGTTTGGTTCTTTGGACAAGGATATGGGAACCATCTCACAACTAAGTCTACTGATGTCCCTAAGGAGGACAAGTCTGATTGGGAAAAGATTGACAACCAACTTCTGAGTATCCTCTGGCAATCCATTGATCCGATTGTCTTGGATATCTTTTATTCATTTCAAACTTGCACTGAAGTGTGGGAGGAAGCAAAAAACCTCTACACTAATGATGTTCAGCAGCTCTATTTCATCATCTCTCAGTTTATGGAATTGAGCAAATCATCCGACATTCAAATGGAGACATATATTGGCAAGAGTCGCTCTTTGATGCAGGCATATTTGGATATGCTGCCTTACCCTACTGATGCTACTGCATATCGGAAACAGGTGGAACGTCTCTTTATGGTTGCCACACTTTCTGGCCTTCCCGAAGAATATGATAATGTTCGTGATACTATCTTGACTAGTGGGGAGCCTGATCTATCCATGACGTATCAGCGTCTTCTGAATTTGAATAAGAAATCTGCTCCTGCATCGTCTTCTGCTGTTGATTCTACTGCTCTAGTTTCCCGTACTGATTTTCGCGGGCATATTGGAGGTGGACGTGGTCGTGGTAGAGGCCCAGGAGGCCGGGGCCAAGGAGGCCCAGGAGGACGTAGCCCAGGAGGTCGTGGCCCAGGAGGTCCAGTCGGACGTGGTCAGCGACCTCGTTGTCATTACTGTCAGCAACTTGGTCATTATGAGGAACGCTGCTACACCAAGTATCCTCACATGCGACCTTCTTTTGCTGCTAATGTAGCTCAATCGGATACTGCTTCAAATGGTTCAGTCTCTCTCTCCTCTGAAGAATATGCAGCATTCCAGGCCCTTCTCAGGAAGTCCTCTCCTCAATCTCAGGCCTCTGCTTCAGAAACTGGTAATCCTGTTGCTTGTGTTTCTCATTCTGCATCACTTGGTCCTTGGATATTTGACTCAGGTGCTACTGATCACCTCTGTGGTAATAAGGAACTCTTTTCTTCCCTTACATATTCTAATAATTTACCCTCTTTTACTCTTGCTGATGGAACTAAGGCCCCCGTTCATGGGATTGGACAAATCTGTCCAACCTCCTCATTGACCTTGACATCTGTCTATTACATTCCTCACATCCCTTATAATTTAATATCGGTTAGTAAATTGATCAATTCTCTTAATTGTATTGTCACATTCTCAAACCATTCTGTTTCTGTGCAGGACCCGGGTACGGGGAAGATGATTGGAGTGGGCCGTGAGTCACGGGGTCTGTTCTACCTTGATGTGCCGAGTCCTTCAGTTGCTTGTTCTCTCACAGAATCTCCACAACTCATCCACAGTCGTCTCGGGCATCCTAGTCTTGCGAAATTGCAGAAGATGGTTCCTCTTTTATCCGGTCTTCAAACTTTAGATTGTCAGTCATGTCAGCAAGGAAAGCACATACGCTCCTCCTTTGCTAATCGAGTCAATAAACGAGCTGATGCTCCTTTTTCAATTATTCATTCAGATGTTTGGGGTCCTAGTCGTAGTGTGTCTATTTTAGGTTTTTGGTATTTTGTCACCTTTATTGATGATTTCTCCCGTTGTACTTGGATTTATTTAATGAAAAACAGCTCTGATACCAAGTTAAATGTAAAAGAATATGTTATGTATTGATCTGTGTCAGGGAGTTACAATATATAGAGACCCTAATGGGCTTAAGTGTAAGGCCCAAACCTAATCCAAACCTAATCCTAATACAGTCAGAATACAGTCAGACTATTTACGGATAAGATAGAATCCAATCATATCTAATCAAATCTAATCATATTATATCTAATATTCTAACACCCTCAAACTTATCAGTTATTAATATTTTTTCTGATTTACAAGAACTCACACAACCATTACCACACAATATAGAAATTTAAAAATACCAACCTGGGCATGTGAAGCAAAATACAGACCCTACTTCAATGGTTCTTAAAACTATTTCTGAGTAGATAAGAACTCACACAACCAAGTTTTAGGGAGAACCCACTTAACCATATTTTCCCAGCCCATTATATTCTTCATATTGGTCAAAACTAAATCTTTTGCCTTTTCTTCAACAACAAAAAATATATATATTCTCAGGTATGTTTGTTAATATGAAAAAGAATGACTGTCTCACTTGTTAGAAGGCGTGACCAACCAAAAGGAAAAAAAGAAAGAAGGACTAGAATACAGAGATTTGATATCATTTTACTTTCCAACTTTGAGATCGAAATGTAGTTTTATAACCTCAGTTATCAGCATTTTATCAATCACAGAAAAATAAAACCAAAAATATAATTTCTATACAAATACAGATAAATGTGATAGAATTTAAACAAAGAAAAGCAGCACCTGACAGGCATTAGGAAGAATAGAGACACTCATCTGCTAGAAATTCCTATAATTCTTTAGGATAACAAGCACAAACCAATATAAAACTTCCAATTTCATTTTGACCAAAAAAATACCTGGTAGTTCTGCAACAGAGGTACTGCAAGCGAACTTCTTCTGCAGTTCTGATGCCAATGCTTCAGCATCTATAAGAAAGGTTTCCATACCAGAGAGTTTGGTTACCTTCTTGTTGCCTTGCCGCCGCTCTGTCATTAACTGGATAGTTTTAAGTGCACCTTTACGAACAACAGATTCATTTCCCCTTGTCACAACATGGTGAGGTTGCATACGGCTCACAAATGTTGGCCCTACATCTTTCTTGTGAATTTCTGTAGGATATGTTGTTCCTTTTTTAATAGCCCCCTTGAACAGTGCATCACATAACATTGCATCTAGAACCACAATAGATTTATCTGTTGGTTTCACAAGATTTTCTTTTTCAATGTATTTGAAGACAGTATCAGAAGCTTCAGAAGCACTATAAAGTTTCCCCGTGTCAGCTCCTACAGATGAAAATATGGAATTGACAGGTACACTTGGCTTGTAGATTTCAGCCACTTCAAGAGTTTTGGATGAAAAAATTTCATTGGCAGATTGAACACTAGGCTGGTCGCTTTTCTCCACTGGCCTTTTTTCAGGCTTAAAGGATGAATAGTCAGCATGGTTTCGGTTTACTGAAAATAGAATGACTTCTTTTTTGTATTTATCTTCTTTCACTGATATCTGTACAAAATGTGAATCTACATGAAGAAAGAATCCAGAAATTGAGAAATGGCATTGCAAATATATTTAAAGTAAAAGCTTTACTAGCAGAAGACAAATGATCAAAAGGACCAAATATAGTAATAAAAAAGGTCAAAAAAATTTGCTGACAACTTACACACAAATCACACATATACTGACAGACCTAATTTTAATCCAAAATTTGTCTCATGATGCAAATTATTTTACAGAAATAAATGGCAAAACTTTACAAAAATTCCGTAATAGTCTCAATTTTTCAATATCTCATCAACCCCAAATATACTAAAAAGGCAACATTATAAGAAACATCCCATGCTGCAAATCATTCCTTATGTTGATTTCAGCTGCTATAACAGAGATCCTTTCAAAAGTTATTACCTTTACCAAAAGCTTCACAAAAGCTGTACAACATAGGTTGTAAGTTTTAACTCACATCACATAAGAAAATTTAGAATGTTGAATTAAATCCCTAGTTTCTTATTCATTCTTTTGTCATGGTCACCAATTTGGATATTGCTCTTTGTTGGAAATATTGTAAAGAGGTTGATAATACTATAAGCGATGAAGTCCCACTAATTAAATTGTTGTTACGTATTCTTATAGTCAGTCTATATAATAGAGCCTCCATTCTGCTATTGAGACACATGGATTACAACATATGCCTCTCGTTATTAAACAGTCTTTGTTATAAAACCTTCCAATAATACATTACAAATAGAATTAGGAACTACTTTATCCAACCTCCTATTCCCATACCAAAAGCTTCACAAGTTTTACCTCACATAGGAAAATTTAGAATGTAGAATTAAATCCCTAGTTTCCTATTCAATCTTTTGTCATGGTCACCAATTTGGATATTGCTCTTTGTTGGAAATATTGTAAAAAGGTTGATAATATTGTAAGGGATAAAGTCCCGCATAATTCAGTTGTTGTTATGTAATTCTTATAGTCAGTCTGTATAATAGAGCCTTCATTCTGCTACTGAGAAACATGGATCTCACAATATGCCTCTCGTTATTCAACATGATATTAGAGCTAGGTTGATGACAAGCAATTCCATTTTGTGTCCACCAGTTATAAAATCCATCAAGAAATTGTTTCGTTTTCTGGTTTCTGATGTCTTGTGCCCTGAAGTCCTCCGGCAACCATCTAAGCCAGCAGCCATTGCCCGCTGCCAGCCACCGTTTGACTCGACGGCCACTATTTGGCCGTCGAAAAATTTATCCGGTGAAATTTCAATTGAATTTTGTCCTAGTTGCATTTTGGCCCCATCAATCTTTGTCCCGAATCCAGCCTGGTTCTGTCCGTCTTTGTCCATCGATCATTGCCCCGGATGCAGCCTGGCCTTGTCAGTCTTTGTCCCATATGCAATATTATGATATTGGTTATTTTTTAATTTTTACGGTTCATTTGTGACAAGCTTAAAGTTTAGAAAGCTTTAGCTTAAGGGGGAGTGTTGGAATATTGTAAATACGTTGATAATACTATGAGGGAAGAAGTCTCACATCGCTAACTTATTGTTATATAATTGTTATAGTTAGTTTATATAATAAATCCTCTGTTGTTCTATTGAGACACACCAACTTCAACATAAGCCTCTCGATATTCAACACTCTTTGTTATAAAACCTTTGAATAATACATTACAATGGAATTAATGGATCTACATTATCCAACCTCCTATCCCCAATTTAGGGGTGGCAAAGCGGGCAACCAACCTCGACCGGTCATAAAGCGGTTCAACATGCCCTGCCTTTTGAAAATGGGTTGAAAATATTAACCCATTCTATTTTACGGCGGGTTAACCTGCTTGTCTGTGTGTGTGTCTTTTTGTTTTTGTTTGTGGGGGGGGGGGGAGCTCCAAGAAATGGAATTGGGAGAGATGTAGAAGAAATGTGAGATATTTTACCCAAATACAATTAAAAAAATATATAATCAACCCGTGGAGTCAACCCACTCCGAGGGGTTCAACCCCGTTTGCCACCTCTAAGTCCATACCAATTCTACAACAGCAATTGTTGTCAAACTTGTTTCTTTCACCATAGTTTCTTGGCTTACATAACTAACAAGCAAAGGAGGATTCAAGTGTCTGAATGATACAGTTAAAAGTGCATCCTAACAGAAGAAAACCAGTTGTTAAGCAAAAATGGAGAAAATTGACAAATTAAACAAAATTCAGAGACTAACTTAGAAGTCAATATGAATAGGTTAAGAAAATGAAAATCAGTGGATCTGGAAGAACAAGAAAGTTCCAATTCAGATACACTATAAATATGCCGAGATCTACTTCAGCACATCCTATATTAAATTTAATAAATTCATATGATGATTAGAAGTTTTCCAGTCAATATCAGCAAGCACTTTGATAAACATATTTTACTTCACTATTTTACTTACTGAGTAAAAAGAAAGAAGTAGATGACATACCAAGCCGGAGGAGGATTTTGCTTGTAACCACTTTGATAACTTCTTGTAGGATGATTTCTTGACGTCTAAAGTAATCCCTGAAGGCCTGCACGGTAATACATGGTTTGACCTACAATGCCCATACACAAGCATTAATTAGATTACTGACAGTAAAGTAAAGGAGAAATTTGAAGAAACAAATGTAATAAATTCCTATAATCACCTTAAACTTTAATAAAAAAAAATGCCAAATAATTTACACAAGAAATGCACCATTATTCCACTAGCTCATGCCTTGCAGCTTATGCATACCTGACCCCTAATATCTTGTTTGTGATCTTTTAACATATATGTTTATGCAAACTTTCTTCTGATAGAACAAGCTGAGACAAAGTATAAGATATGTTTGTGTAAAGAACCTTGGGATCCACCACCCCAAAAACACAACCATGAGGAAAGAATTTAGCAAAACAATGCAACTTAGAAGTCAGCTTGCTTATGGAAATGAGATTACAAGCCAGAGAAGGAACATAAAGAACTGATGTTAAATTAATCAGCTCAGAAAGTTTAATGGTTCTATGTCCTGCAATCTGGGAAAAACTGTCATCGGCGATCTTAACCCGAGAGGGTTCAGAGTATGGAGTGTATGAACAGAACAAGCTCGGATTACCTGTCATATGGTCATAGGCTCCAGAATCAAGGATCCAATGATTTTGACTATCAACATGGAAAGTTGTACCTTGCTGGACCACATTACTAGTGGCCTTAGGAGGTTGAGTCAAAAGTCTCTGAAGTTGTTCAAACTGATTTTTGCTAATAAAGACACCATCAGAGTCAGAGGATGCACGAGGCTCATCAACCTTGTCATCAATAAAGACCTAATATGCACGACCTTTATTCTGTCATTTTGGCTTCCAATTTGCAGAGTTCCCGTGGATTTCCCAACATTTCTCACGAGTATGACCAATTTTATTGCAGTGGGTGCACCATGGACGACCATCCCGTTTTGATTCTCCAGAGGAACGGTCAATGGTACGTTTGGCAACCAATGCAGACATATCATCATACTTATCAATTGACTCATTTTCTCCCAGCATAACTCTCCGTCTACTTGCTTCTCTACGAACTTCAGCAAAGGCATTAGCAAGTGAGGGTAACGGTCGTTGCCCCAATATTCGACCACGAACCTCATCAAGATCTCGGTTAAGGCCAGGAAGGAAATCATAAAGTCGTTCCTTCTCCAAGTGTTTTTTAAATTGGGTATTCACTTCCAATCCTTTAAGATCGGATGCATAATAAAGATCCAGTTCCTGCCATAAATTTGTTAGTGCAGTAAAATACTCAGTAATAGTCATACCCCTTTGACGAAAGTCTCTCAACTTATTTCGCAGTTCAAAGACTTGAGAGTTATTCTCCAGATCTGAATAATTTTGTTGAACAGCATCCCAAATCTCCTTGGCAGAATCGAAGAACAAATAGGTTTGGCCAATATGTGGTTCCATGGAATTAGTCAGCCATGCCATTACCAAGGAATTATTAATCTCCCAATTTTCATAATCAGGAGAATCCTCAGCAAGTTTCTTAATTTTTCCCTCAAGATAACCCATCTTACCTTTTGCTCGGATCACCAACTTAACAGATTGAAACCATTGCAGAAAATTTTTACCGTTCAACCGGTGACTAGTAATCTGCATACTTAAGTTGTCTCCAGAGGACTGAGTATTGAAAACAGATGAGGAAGCAGAAGAACGCTCTGAGGAAGACATGAAGGAAGAGAGAGGATTTGACCGTGGATGAAAAAATCAAGTTTTTATTTTTTTAGATCTGACCTCTGGAACAAGAAGAGGAGACGCTGGCGAGAGGTTCTGTGCAAGTCGCGGCGGAAAAAGACGCAGGGAAGGTGGCGCGTGTGACGGCGCGTGGCGGCGCGTGCGGCGGCTGACGGTGATGGGTCCAGTGGCGTTCAACTCGTCGGAGCCTTCTGAGTCGAATGGTCACTTCACTTTCTTGATTGGAGGTCTGTAGATAAGGTTTCTGGCTTTAGACAGAATTGAAGAGGTGTGTTTGATGATGTACTGACGGTATTGCAGCCTTGAAGATGGCTGATTTAGGATAGGAACGAACCCGCTCTTGATACCATGTAAAGAACCTTGGGATACACCACCCCAAAAGCTAGCTCAAAGGGTGGGAGTGCCCAAGGCCTTATAAAGGCCACATTAGTTGCTCATACAACCAATGTTGGACTATATATCTCAACAGTTTGCATTAGCTGAATGTGACTCCCTAAGTTTGAGATCCAGAACTGAGGAGTTGGCTAATTAACCGAAAGGATAAAGCAAACTAAAAACTTAATTTAAAATAGGAAATTGTCAAGTTCATGTAACAAAAAAAAAATGGTTAATTACGTTTTTGGTACTCATAGTTTCATTAAAATCCAATCCCCTTGCCCCCCTTAATTGCAAAAATGTTATCCTCATAGTTTTCAATTCCTAAAATTAAGTCATGATATCAGTTGATGCTGAGGAGCTACTATCTTCGTTGATGTGGCAATACCTTGTTTATGCTGATCTGCATAAAATTTTGATGACATGGCACACTGTTATTTACATTACCAAAGTTCTCATGATCTCATCCAATTAAAAGTGTACTCCACAGTGGTCATATTTTGGAGACCGGTGTTACTGAACGAATTTATCTTTAAAAAATTCAAAACTAACCCTAATTGTCAATCAAAATTCCTAGTTTGCTGGATTTTTTGGCCAATCTATTTTTAATGGCTCACTTGGTCAACCAAGAGCCCAAAGAGAGAGTTAACCCTACCATAGAGTGCTTCCGGGCATGGGAAGGTCTTTGTCCTTCAGTGTTGTATGCAATGCTTGTAGAAGGCACTTGTCCAACAGCAAATCTATGTCTGCAGTTGATAGACTATGCCGGTCATTTGGGTCACCAGCAGAGCCAGTATCCGGTAACTTCAAATCAGCCACGCCTTCAGTTACTTCATTTGCAGCATCATCATTCGGTGTTGCCAATGCAGTACTGGACTCAGCTTGTGGCTCATTCACATCCATAGATTCCACCACTTCAGACCTTTTTGTGTTTCCCTGTTGATCAATTGATGTCTCACAATCAACCTCGGTGAAATCAGAATTATGAGAAGGTGATAATAAAGAAGGATCCTCAAACACAGCATCTTCAAAAAAACCAGCATTAGGCACATAACGGCCCTCAACTGTTTCCCTACAAATCCAACCAACCAAAAAAAATAAAAAATAAAAAAAATCAATAACAAAAAGATTTGTTACTTGTAATGAATCAAACAATCAGGGTCAAGCAATACTTGCCAAAGCAAATCACGATAATAATGAGTTATTCTCAAGGCCTTTCCACGCAATCCAGCTTTTAAAGCTTCAGTGCTGCTCATTGTGGTACTCCCAACCTTGATAACAATGAATGAATGAATGAATGAAGGGTTAACAATAACAAGTAAGGTAAGGATGATAATAGGAGATAAAGAAGAAGTGGTGGTGGTTAAAGAATATACCGCAATAGGAGCAGGATTTCCGGGTACTTTAACAGACCATGTTTCACCAGCTACAAATGAAGGAAGACCTTGAAGAGGGACATTGATACCTGGGAACATTAAATCAGCTCCTCCAATAATAAAACGAGAAACCTCACCACCCTTCAGCATGAAACAAGGGAGTAACTCTGGAACCACCCACAGAGCATAAACTGCCAAAATCACAAATGAAATCATCATTCTTTTTCATAACTCATTTCCAATTTCCAAACACTAAACCAAAACCACAACAAGAATAATGGTTACACACATATATATAAATATAAATATACAAACCTGTAGGGTAAATTTCAGAGGAGCGGCCATCAATATCGAAAAACATAGGAAAGCCTCCCTCAACAGAAAAAACATGTACTCGATTTTGAAACTTGGAAACTGTTATCTCTGCCTTTGGAGGTAGCAAAACGTCTAAGTCGGAATCAGAAGCTCTTGGGAATTTCTCCTTAATGCTTCGCTTCAGCTTCTTCCTGTCTGCACCTGACAACCTCTGATGAGACTTCGCCTCCACCGCCTTCTTGAACATTCTCGTTTTCCTTTCTCTCTCTCACTCACACACACGCACATATTCCTCGTTTTGGCTATTTGTTCTGTTTCATATATTGAGAAAATTGTATGCAGTGTTAACCTTGGTTAACCAAGGTAAATTTGTTTCTTAACGCAAAGGGGTAACGGTAAACGATTGTGTGAGTCTGTGAGAAAGGTTGCCACCTATCATTTATTATAAAAGTGGTTCCACGTGTCAAAGAAGTGCTCAGCACGTGGATCCCACTTCCCTCGTGTCAAAAAATCTAGGGTAAATATCATTTTTAGTCATCAGCAAATTTCATGATACCCGCTTTAGTCTCTAGCAAATAAAAGGGCTATTCGTGGTCCTTAAGAAATTCAAAATGGACCTATTTAGTTAAAATCGTAGTCTCTCACAAATTCAAAAAAGATCTATATTAGTCCCTCAAAAGGACTAAAATGAATCCATTTTGAATTTCTTAGGAACCATGAATAGCTTTTTTATTTGTTAGGGACTAAAACAGGTATCGTGAAATTTGCTTAATACCGAAAAAAATATTTACTCAAAAATCTAACCAAAGTTGCCATCTTCATTTGATAGAGGGGAAAAAAATTATCTGAGAATAATATTATCATGAGGAATATGTTGAGAAAATAATTTTTTTTAAACCATGATAAAAATATTATTTGGTAGATAAAAATATTTCTATTCTAACGACAAGCCAATAAAACTTTTAGGCACCTAATTTCTTTTCTTTCAGCGATAATACCATGTTAAATCTTCATTTACAATTCTAAGAAAAATCTTACATATCTCATACTAGGGGTGTTCATTAATCGATCCAAACCGATTCAAATCGCGGTAATCGAACCGAAAAATCGATAACCAAATAAATCGAAAATCGAAAAAAAATCGCAAATTTTAATTGGATTGGATCGGTTTTCGGATTGGTTGATGAAAACCGATACAATCCAAACCGATCTAATATATTAATTTTCTTTTACCTACTTAGGTCTTTTCCTAATCATAGCTCACAAATTTCTAAACTCAAGACTCATTAATCCATCAACTAAACCAAAGAAAAAATCTAATCAGATCCCATCAACAAAATTTCATCTGTGTAGAGCTTTAGATCTCATTGCCCAAAAAAAACCACATTTTACTGATACTTTTGTATTTAAAAAAAATAAATTTACAAAGCAAATATATACAAAAGATGTTATTTGCACAATAATCATGAAACAAATTTTAGGATTTTCAAAAAATCAAAAACCGATCCAATCCAAACCGAAAAAATTTGGATTGGATCGGATCTGATTTGAAAAAAAATCCAAACCGAATAGATGATTATATGATCAAACCGAATGGATTGTTTCGGTTGATTTTTGCTTCCAAAATAGATCTAATCCAAACCGCGAACACCCATATCTCATACAACACTGAAAAATTTGCTTATATGTTGTTCTCTCCTTCAATATCAGCTTTGTGTTCACATTAAAGGCATTTTGAAATGTTTTTTTTTTTTTTTTTTGGAGTTACCCAATCAAATTTCATAGGTGGAAAAAAATGTGCAGCATTCTTTTGGTGGGGTCCAACTATATTAATATCTCAATACTTTCTGCATGAGAAATTGTTATAAGCATGAAAAATTAAAATTAACATTTTAAATTTAAATTTAATTTTAAATTTTAAAACATAAAAATGAGTTAAAAAAATGGAAAATATTTCATGTAAAAATATAATATATGTTACTAGGTTCTTACACATAACTCACCAACAATGAACTTTAACGAATTGAAACTTGGTCAACTTCGATAATGCAATTCACCTGTACCCGTTGTATCAACCAATGTTGATTTTTTTTTTTCAATTATTTTATATAGGTCATGGGTTTCAATGTTATGATGATTTTTTTATTTCATATAATATTATGAAATGTGTGAAACCATGTATGCATTAAGTCTTTTAACGAAGCCATGAAAATAACGTTTGGACGATAACAATCCATTGAGCAACAGATATCAATCAATAGCAACAAATAAAAAACAAGAACTGAAAAGCAAAATCCAACGAGCAGCAAAGATAATGAAAGACAACAAGGCAAAAGCAAATTTTAAGAGAAGTGTCAAGGTACAAGCCAGGCATGGTCCATGATAGTAAGTCCAAAACCAAATAATATTTATCTTTATGACTTCTGTTTCGTTGAAAAGTTTTTTGGTGCTTTGCATTTAAGAACTCAAAGGAATTTAAAATTGCAAGCTTTACATTGCATGGTTTTTATAAATTTACAAAAATAAATTCAACATGTTTTAATTTCAAAAATCCTTTTCCTGAAGCCTAATATATGTTTTTTAAAATGTAAAAATCATATTTCAATTCTTCGGTTTTGATGGTTGTTACTGACTTCTTATCTATTATCTTAACATGATAACCGATTACCAACTTTCTATAAAGGCAGCAATCAATTACCCATTGAAAGTAATAGATTACCTCTTGTATCTAACAAAAAGACAATGGCTACAAATGACTAGCATGTGAGAAAACTATATATAGGCTATAGCTCACTTCCAAATGACTAGTATGTGGCTTCTTTCATCCTTTAAATGTAAGTTTTCAATAAATAATCTATTAATTTCCGCTTTTTAGCAATATTATTTTGCATTCTAAATAGAAATATAAATAATTCAAAATAGCCATGTATAAAAGGAGAAATCTGATTTTAATTAATATAATATGAACTGCTAATGTTACTTTATGGACATTTAAAACTATGAAATTTTGCCTAGTTCTCACAATTTAACTATAAAAATATTTCTTAAAAGATTAAATGATGCACAGGAGTTGAACATATTTTGTAATTAGTGTAATTTCGTTCAAGCATAATGGTGAGTTCAAATGTGGCAAAACGGTGGGTCCACTCCATTCAGCCCAACCTGCCAATGGAGTGGGGTGGATTGCTAATGTGCATATGAAAGTCCAACAAAAATTCTAAAAGAAGAAACATTTTTTTTTCAAAAAGTCCAACAAAAATTCAAAAAATCTGCATAAAATCCTAATGTGTATATGAAAGTCCAACAAAAATTCTAAGGGTATATATGAGAAACCATAAGGAACAAAATAAAAATCAAACTCAAATACATAAATCTATTTGAATAATAAAAATTAGTTACATTCAGTGGTGACCATCCTTGCAAAAATAATGAGGTGCTTTTCGGTCAAACAAGAATAGTGATCCAGCTGAAAAAAAGCAATAACAATTAGCAAATAATGTCAAAAATTTCTAGAATTGAAGAAAAACCTTTTGGTGTACAACGCTTTCATGTGGGTTAGTGGACAGTGGGTGTCTGATTGTTTGCGTGTGTGACGAAAATATTTTGATAATTTGATCTTATCTGATTTGGGTAATATAAAAAAAAACGAGTTTGGTGGGCTAGCCCGCCCAGTGGCGGGCCAAGCCCGACGGGCTGATGGTTTTGGCGGAGTGGGTCAGGCGGAGCGGGTGGGTTAAAAAACTCAATCCACCCCGCCCGATTTGGCAGGTGGGGCGGGCCAGCCCGACGAGCTCAGCCCATTTTGCCATCCCTAGTGGCAAGGCAAGTACAAGCGGGTAGGTGGATTGAAAATTCCAACCCAATATGCCACGGGCCATCCCGATGGGTTAAACTATGTCTAAGTAAGTTCAAAACAAACTTTTACTTTTTATGTAGTTTTTAAGCAAAAGAAATAAAAAAGTATTGGGGAAATAGAAAATGATGGTTTTTTTTTAAATGAAATGTTTAATCTTTATATTAAAATAATGATAAATTTTTAATTTATTTTGATAATTATAATTTTATTTTTCACATGCATATACTGAAATGTTTGGTAGTTAAAGAGTAATGAATTTTTTTATTAACGTGCTAGAAAGAAAGTATGATTGTGAGTTTAACTCACATATATATATATATTTAAAAATATATGAAAACATTTTCACAAAAAATAAACAAATATGAAAACATTAGCTTCATGAGTTTTTTCAATTATAAAAGTATCATATATATATAGCATTTTTTGAAAATGTGAAATTTCATTATTCATATTTAAATGCCGGCCGAGTAAAGTTTAAATATCTTCCTTGTAATTTTCTTCTCACAATGATTTATCCCTTAATTTTTTTTAATCTCTTACTTCCTATGTAATTTTTTTGTTCCAAATTTACCTAAATGTTTTAAAAAAATTATATATGATTTTTAATTAATAAGTACATTATTTTTTAGATAAAGTTTAAATACCTATCATTTTTATTTTGGCAAGCATTAGAATCTTCCTTCACTTTTCGGTTTTATCATTTAGAAAGAAGATCGACTATATATTATAAATTTTTTATAATTACATGAAAGTACTTCATCGATAATAATGTAATAAAACTTGCATGCTTCTAAAACTATTTTTCTTTTTAAAATCTTCAATCATTTGATATAGTTCCGTCTTGAAGATTAGATTGTCCGGACGATCTTTCAATTTATGACCTCTTGAAGTAACAAATTTATTAATTCCATGTCAAGTAAAATTATAAATAATAGTAAAAAAAAAAGTTAAGCAACCAAGATATTTGAATTTCACCCTATTTAAGGTTAACGGAAATCAATGGTAATTAAGTTAGTTTTAAAGGTGATAATTGATAAATATTTTTAGTGGTAAATATATCATGCCCCTTTCTTAAAAACCAAAATAAATTGAATTTTTAATTTTTTAGGAATAGGATATTATAACAACCAATTAGGGTTACTACCAATGTTACTACTAATCAATTTCACCGTTAAATCGATTATGTGAATCCAACAGTTATATTTATTTCAATCTTTATATGGTTATGATTTCCCATATTTAATATGAAAGCATTAAATATGAAGAATCATAACTATACAAAAGTAAAAATAAATATAAAGTATTAAATATGAAGAATAATAATCATACAAAGATAAAAATAAATATAACCGTTGGATCAACATAATTGATCTAATGGTGAAATTAATTAGTAACAAGTAATAACATTGGTAGTAACCCTAATTGATTGTTACAATTTTTTTTATATTTTTTATAGATAAATTCTTGATT